TGGGGAGCCGGGCATCGAGGGGCTGGGGAGCCGGGCATCCGGGGGCCGATGGGCAGGGGAGGCAGGTCCTTACTCGCCGGCTCCATGCCAGCGGAAACACCGGTATCGGCGAGTCCCGAAACGAATACCAATACTCGATACAAAAAAAACGTTATTGGTGCATCCCTAGCTGTAACCTCAGCCGTTATCTTCCATGTGACCTGTCCCATGGGCCGGGTCCCAGTATGGCCGCCTCCTAACCGTCTACACTCTTATTTCTAGGCCGAGGTGGCGGACTATGAAACGGTTCCCGTGGAGCAGTACGGCATGGCCATGCTTCGAGGAATGGGCTGGAAGGAGGGAGAAGGCATCGGAAAGACATTCAAACAGTGAGTTCATTATTTGGCAGGTGATGAATAGAGGAGCAGCGTAACATTTTATTAAAGCGTCAGCTTACCGGCCTCTAGATGTGGTGGCTGCATTCCTTTTCTTTTCTCAGGCTGTTGATCCTGCCAGAAATGCCGTCTCCTTGTCACTTCTTGTAAACTGAAAAGACAGCAAAGCACTGTCATCTATTGTGTGTAAACGTCTTGTCCCATCAATCCACCATGTAATGGCAAAGAGTTGTCCGATGTCCCCGTTTTGGGCGTCTGCGGTCCACCGTTTGGACGACAACCACGGCGGCCTCCATACCGTGTTTCCCCCGAAAGTAAGACCTAGCGCTACCTTCAGGGATTTCTGTAATTATAAGGCCGACCCCGAAAATAAGACCGACCCCGAAAATAAGACCTAGTTCGGTGGTAGGTCTTATATTACAGAGATTCATGATAGCGCTAGGTCTTATTTTCAGGGTAGCTGCACCGTATATTTACATGTCATGGCCGCAGCTCCCTCCCGCATGGCCACCTGTCTGGCTCCCTGGACGGCATTAGAGCGGAGAGTGGCCGCAGCTCCCCACCGCCCACCCCGCCAGGCACGCTCCTCCCCGCACTCCCACCTGTCTGGCTCCGTGGACGGCATTAGAGCGGAGAGTGGCCGCAGCTCCCCCCGCCAGGCACACTCCTCCCCGCACTCCCACCTGTCTGGCTCCGTGGACGGCATTAGAGCTGAGAGCGGCCGCAGCTCCCTCCCGCTCGCACGCATGCCCACCCGTACACACGAGCGGAAATCGGAGAGCTGCAGCCAGGTACACATAAGACATCCCCCGATAATAAGACCTAGTGTCTTTTTTCGTGGAAAAAAAAAATCTAAGACACTGTCTTCTTTTCGGGGAAACGCGGCAGATACGGCGGAGGAGTGAGCGTAACCAGCCAGGGACAGGATGTGTGTTACCGACCAGGTCACCAAAGGAACAAAGCCTAAAAAGAGAAAACCAATGCAGCCACCACATGCGAGGACTGATGAGCTGCAATATGCGCCATTCGTGTTTTTGGGTTTGGATATATTTTAAGGAGACACTATTCACTAACATAATCCTCCTGTCCCATCGCACTCCTGACCGGACAAAAACCCAAATCCAACTGGGTGGGTGCGGTGGTGACAACGGATGCCTCCGTGAAATGTAGATAGATGAAAGTAGTCACTCGCACTCCATGATATTAAAGTCAATGCTGTTTATTGACTGAGATAACACGCATCTCCTTAGCGACGTTTCGAGACGAAGCGGTCCCGTCCTCAGGCAAACAGAGAGTTATCTCAGTCAATAAACAGCATTGACTTCAATATCATGGAGTGCGAGTGACTACTTTCATCTATCTACATTTCACTAACAGACTTAATTTCAGCACCAATCCTCCCCCATGTTCAAATAGCAGAACAGATTGTATTCAGAATTGAGGTTTATGAAGTGTGACGACACGTGAAGATTTCCATCACGCTGATCCTTTTACATGTCTAACTACAAAGAACATAGGAAAGACATTTACTTGAATGCGTCTCCTTTGCTTTAGGGACATTAAGCCGTTGGAACAGAAGTTACGACCTAAGGGCCTGGGATTGGGCGCCGACCGATCCGCTTTACACGAACTGGAGCCCAAGAAACCTCGCAAACCCTTGAAGCCCGGAGATGAGGCAGAAGAAGAATCCAAAGGCTTGGGCACCGGCAGCGCAGTGCTAATACAGAACGGCACGCACAAGGACCTCTACGGCAAGGTATGGCTAGAAGGATATCCTGTCTGTGGCAAGGGAGTGATGACATTCTAGTGTAAAGGAAAAACGGTCAAACGCGATATCGTCAAAGGTTTGCTGACCCC